AAGTGAACTCTGAAGACCGTGAGCAATATTGTTACCGACCTTAAGGAAAAGAAAAGATTGCAAATATTGGGAACAATTTTCAGTAAACAGGGATGGGTGTTCTAAGCCGCACTTTCTTCTGGTTGGTTATGTTGTTCTCACACCCCTTCTGGTTGTACCGTACCGCATGCAGGCGTGCAAACGGGTTGCATACCCACACGGGGCCATAGGGCACCGGGAGGTGAGAGTCGGCAGGCAAGCCTGCCCGGTACAGTTTAACCAGAAAGGGGTAAGGCACAACACCCCTGTAAAACCAGAAGCAAGCAGTACAGCTTTGGAAACCCATTCTCTGTACAGCTGCAACGTTTCCTTGATTACGAAATACTGTAAATCTGGTTGACTAAAGGAAAGCAGGCGCCTCACGCAAGCCATTAGTCATAGCCACCAACTCGACACCTTCTCGTTTCCATAAACTGCACAGCACACCCATAGGGCACTGTCACCCCAGGAATGATATATGATCCCGACATCGGAAACACCAAAAACCAGAAGGTGCCCTGCGAAATTACTGGGCCACGTAACTAAGTTTTCAACTGCTGGGCACCCCAGACCCAGATTTACGCGGCGAGCCAACGCCATTCGGTGTCTTTCTTTTCCAAGAAAACGCAGTATTTTTAAGGGATTTCATCGCTTATTTTTTCACGTTCGTTTTCGATTTCCCCCCAGAGAGGCGTCGTCGTGGCTATGGGTAACGACCCCCCGACCGCCAACCCCTTCCTGTCGCGCTGCCCGGCGGAGCCACACGTGGAGCGCACGTGGTGGGGCGGAGGGGCACGTGTAGCACCCTGCAGGATTCAATCGCTCACAAAAACACGCCAAGCCAAGGAGGAAATCGTAAAAAAAAAACAACGACAAAAGAAACAAAAAACTTTTTGAAAACGAGGGAGAAAAGTAAAGCATGGTTAGTATGTCCTTGGGCAGGCGGCGGCGGCGGCGGAGGTGTTCGAACAGCCGTTTCATTCATTAGCGCTCCGGAAGGCTGGTCAGTCCAGAGAGTCCGGTCCGGACGCTGCAGACCCCCGCAATTAAAGCCCATCCCATAAGTGCTAACAACTGTGGTGTGGTACTGGCCTGGCCACGCCGCCCGGAGGAGTTCAGCTCCAGGATACGGCG